TGTACCTCAGTAAGGTCCCGTTTGTTTCTAATCCTGAGCTGACAGAGCCTGGCTCGCACTGTTCAGTTTGTGATCTGTAAATCCCGTGGATAAAGTTCTCTGGAGTCGCTGAAGTGAGCGGTCTCTTTCTGGGGATACTGATGCACTACATCTGCTCCCGCGCCTTGGGATGAGCCTTGGACAGGGCAAACAATTCCAGTCTGAACCAGGTCAGATCCTATTCCGAAATAAATGCTTGTGTCGTTTTCTTTAGGACTTGACATGCTGTACTGATCTTTTTGGGTGCTGATGTTCAGTGATTGAAATTAGCCTGCTGTGAGCAACCGTTGTGTTCTCCCGGGGCTTCCCACCTTGTGCCATTCGTGAGGGGTCACGCAAATGAGTTTAAGAACACTGAGCGAGCAATCCCCCGTTCCATTTGTAACTCGCATCTTCTGTAGCTCCAACGTAAAGAAGCTATCGGCACAAAAGCACTGTGCACTTTGGGGTACTAAAAGCACATTTTGAAAATCTAAATGCTACTTTTTCTGTAGCCCCTACTGGCTCCGCTGCCCTGCTGAAATGTGACGAACAAGCAAACTGGCTGCCACAAAATCAGCTAACAGTGTGCTGGGAGCTCCTCACCGAGGTTTTGGCAGCTAAGCCTGCCCGTGCTTACCCGGAAAATTGAGTGTGCTCTATGTAAAACATGACATGCCTAGCAATTACTGCAGGGCAAGTGTTACCTTACCGTTTTTCCCCTGTGAAACCTGTACGCTGCAAGTCCCTGTTCCTGCTGTTGAAAGCAGAGCCTTTTGGGGGAGAAGCAGGAGCATTTGTAGGTTTTACTCAACTTTTAGGCCACGTTACAAAGCGCATGAGCTAGGCGCAGTTTCACATAACTGCATTGTTTGGCAGTGTGTGTGGAATTCTGCTCTGTTTACATGCCGATCTGATAACCAAGGAACTTCATAGCTGGACTTTATGGAGGCCTTGGTGAGTGTTCAAATGATCTGTGAAATCAGTTTTATGAAACAAACATTCAGTTTTCCCCCGTGATAAGGAGGATTAAAGGTACACGGAGGTTGACCTGTTTGTGCTAAAGCTCTCCTGTCATCCTGAGTTGAGGTGGCAGTCTCTGGGACGTGAGCCCTGGTCTTTCTGGAGGCTGGGAGAGTGTTTTCGGGAGATCCATTAGATATTTGTGCTGCTGATCTCTTCCCTGGGAGCACGTTGCTGATGGCTGCTGGGTGCTTGATGAGGAGGATCTTTTGTCCCACCCAGTGCCGCCACTGAGCTGGGAGGGGCGTGTAGGAACGGGGCATCCCCCAGTGATGGGTCACTCACAAGGGCTGCGCTTTAGCAACCAGGTTAATCTTTCTTTTGATGGATGGATTCAAATATTTTCCGACACTGGTAATACTAGTGGAATTGAAACAAGCCTGAAACCTTTTGAGAAATCCCTTTGCCAGGATCTGTCATCTACTCCTATGAAAAATCTGGCAGCTTTAGGTTTGCATCTATTCCCCACAGCCCTGCGTGCCTAGTTTACCCAGTTTATAGTCGTTGTGATTATAATTTTCTTACAAGAATGCAGACAGTTTTTATTCCTGTAGCTGGGATTGGAACAACAGAGCAAAGCTGTACAATCACATCACTGTGGTGTAATTTGCTCCCTCTGCATATGTTGCTTTGTCCGTATGGAAAAATGGGGTGTGAGCAGTTGTACAAGTAACATTTGCGGACGGAAGGATACATCAGTTGAAAATGATGTTTTCTAGCCAGCTGATTGCAGAAGCAGGAATGCCGAGTTCTCATCTCCTCTTTTATCTCAACTTGTAATAACCTGGAACAAACCAGTTTGCCCATTTGACTGGTGTTCTTTTTTCTCACTGGTAAAGTAAACCTGGTGTCCCTCAGGGTACCCGGGTGATAAAAAGTCAGCGTAGCTCTGAGTGTTATCAGTACTGCTCCTGGGATTTAGGTCAGTACTACTTCTGTGATTTCAGTCATTGTTCTTACTCTGCATCCAGCAATCAGAACTCGGTTCTTAGCTCTGTAAAGCTTCCTATTTCCTGCTCTGATCTTACTAAATCATTTCATGGCTGCTGGATTCCTTCTGCCATCTTCCATTAAAAACCAGATTCAGGCTGATCCATTCCGTATCAAGGCTTCTTAGTTCTTCCCTCACAGTCGAATGCTTTAAGCAGTTTTCCGCAAATATTTTAAATGAGAGTCTAATCCCTGAAGGCCGATTAAAAAGTCCATATTCACCCTGGCTTTCGGGGAGGAAGATCTTATGTAAAGTTTGAAGCTTTTCAGCGGGTTTGCTTAAAATGCTTCAGACTCGAGACTTTGTCTTGTTACGTGGATGACTTCAATCCCACCTGCTGATCTTGGTGCCTGTGAAATGCAGTGTGTAACAGTAAACTGGAACGTGCATTTTTGTAAGTGAAGACAAAATTTTTGCCGGTTTTTTGACCCGCAAAACTCCTCCCAGGAACAGGGAAGCTGTTTCATTCGGGAGCCCGTGTCCGGGTAGCTGTGAGCCCTGGCAGGCAGCCCTCTGGGGGCTGGCGGGGTTTAAAGCACTAAATGGAAATACAGGCAAATTGCGGCTTCACTTATTTACTGCTAACAGGTACCATGTGTGAGTTAATTTTTTCATTTTTAAGGTGAGGACAGCCTTAGAGGGAGGAGAATTAGAAATACATAATTTAAAAGTTTAACTGCGAAGTTTAATTTTTGAAGAGGATTCTCGTGGGTAGGATGTGGACGTTTGATTTCTCTTGGCTTGTATGTATGTGTATCTTGCTGATGTGTTGTGAATCTTCTTGGAAGGGACCTGAAGGTTTTGTTGAAATTACTAACTTCTGAGTATATTCTGTAGTCATAAACAATTCTATTTTTAAGATACTTTGTGACAAATAAATGTTATAATGATTTAAAAACAATTAGCGTATGCCACAGTCCCGCTACGCCTCTCACAACTGCGCCGCTTCACGTTTTGTCTGTGCTTTTATTTTGTGATGCTTTTGTGAAACCCCGTTACAATACCAAATTAAACCGCCCCCAGATACTGAATCAGAGCATTTAGCTGCTGTTTATTGGAGCCAGACATTGACCTTCCAAACCAGGGTTACCTGGTAAATGCCCCCAAGGTGCCTCCCGGCGCAGGGAGCGTTGGGCAGAGCTGGAGCCGGCGGTGCTGCAGGCTTTGCGGCCCCTGGGTGCTCTCTTGGGCCCCTGGGTGCTCTGTTGGGCCAGGCTGGGACCTGGGCACATTCTTGACTTACAGACGAGGGGAGAACCACAGGATTCATATTGCAACAGTTTTTGTGAAGTTGCCCGTTGGAGAATCCATCTTTCTGGTGAACTGAGATTTTTTTCAGTGAAGTTAAAAAAGACGTATTTTTATAAATGAACGTACTGTGTATGTGTTAGACTGCAAATTCTCCGTTCACACAACCCCTGTATTGAGTAAGGGAGGCTTTTAGGCTTAACATGATGCTGTTCTTTCCAATACTGAATAAATATTTCCATTTCTGTTCAGACTTCTGACCCCTGTGTGGAGCCTTGTCTGTGAAAGGGGAGAGCAGAGTTAATACACCCTAGAAATGATTTAAATTACTGATTTTACTAATCAAACCAGAAAGCAAGAAACCTTTATTTAAAATGTGAAGTTTTCTTTCCTAAGTATTTGTGTTATTCAGATTTTTCCTTTACCTACAACCAGTTCTCATTACAGGGGGCTGATATTGCCAGGTCCAGCTTTTAGGCTAAATCTGACACATGCTTTTTTCACACCTCAGGTAGCTCCCGTCTGTTTAAACGCTTCCATAGCTTCTTGTTCACCATTCAAAATGTTTAATTTGTAAAATTGACAACTTGTGCATTTCTCTATCAGTTTGGTGTTTTTTGTTTGTTGTTTTTTTTTTTTTCCCCTCTGTGTGAATAGTGTCAACCAGTATTAGAGTAAGACTTGGCAACCAGCTAAAATGCTTTCTAATGCTTGAAGTACTTGAAGTATTGGGTAGTTGGGAAATGAAAACTTCCCTCAAAATGTTTTCTATTTAAAAATCAACTGCCTTTTATTGACAACAGAAATCTTGGCAGTTTGTATTGACAAGCCATGGTGCTCAGTGCTAAACTTTAAGGTTTTTAAAAAATTTTCACAAGTTTGGTTTGTGTTTTGTTTGTTTTTTTTTTTTCTGTGAGCAATCTGAAGTTTTGAACTGGTGACCTGGTCACGCTTCAGCAAACTTAACGCTTGGTTTCACGACAGGGAAAGGCTTAATCTCTGCTAATCTTTTAATAAAGAGTTCAGTGAGACTCTTTAATGTTGGAATACAGGATTAGTTTTCTTTAAAGCTCAGGCAGTGCTTTGGGTTTAGGCCGTTGCCCGCTGGGGGTGGCCGCAGGAGGATGAGGATGACGGCCCTGGGTTGGTGCTGGGGCCTGGGGACACCTCCTGGGGCTCGGGGGTCACCCCTGTGGTCAGGCACTGGGGCACTGGGCAAGAAGGCAGCAGGAGCCCGGGCGGCGTCTGCCCTTGGGTGCCCCTTGCGGTACCCTTTTGGGTCCCCGTGTACCCAGGGCAGCTCCCTCCTGGCGCCGGGATGGCCTCACCCGGGACCTTCTGCTCTGGCCCACTGTCACCGTTCTTGGCTTCTGCTTTTTGTTTTGGGGACCGTTTTCTGCTTTTTTGCTCCCTTTGGTCATTTATCTGTGGGTATGTGCACGCTGAATCCCATTTGCTTCCGTGGGTGAAAGGTACGACTCATGCACTCACTCTCTCGCTTTTCATTGTCCCAGTGACAGGGAAGAAAACCCTTTATTTTCCATCAATTCTGTCATCTTAAACAGCGATTTGTGTGGCTTTATTGTAAAGAGAGACAGGTCTGGGCTGCGGTGGGGTCTAGCTGACAAAGTTATGCGGTTAATTGTGCTGTTTGCACGGAAAAGGGTTGCGCGTTCTTTTCACCCACATGAATGTTTCTTTATTTTCCTTTTTCCTACAGTTCTCTACATCCAATGATTTTCTTCATTCTCCAAGGTTAAGGCCCTCTCAAGGAGTACCAGTCAGTGATGAGTTATTTTTTAGTAGAAAAAGAGCTTCAAGGAATTTATTTCAGAATAGTGTAGATTTTCTCTCTGAGCATTCTTCTGTTTGTGCCGGTAAGTATTAATACAGAAAAGTGTTTGATCTGCCATTTATGAAACAGATTTAGAAGAACCTACGCTTAAATTTGTAGCTTCATGGGAATGATTTATCATTTGTTGATGATTTGATTTGTTTTGTTATTTATTTTCATTTACTGCTCCTGGAGAAGTGTGCACCCCCTCAGAGCCTCCACTGCTGTCTTCCAGTCCTGCCCTACATGCTCTGATTTTCACTAGTCTAGATAGAACTGAGTTTATAGATCAGCTTATTTTTTCAGACAGCAAGACCAAACAGAAGTAGTGTGGTTGTGTGAGCAGGTGTATTGAATGAAAGGACCGGGGATATCCCTGAAATGTTGAGCATTCTTGTTCAGGATTAGGGAAAGGATGTATACCACGTGGATCAGCAACAGAGTCATTCAGCCAACATTCTTTCCCACTGTAAAACACAATATGAATTGCAGATAAAGCAGAAAGTTAAAAGGAGGCGCAGAATTTTACTGACTTTTGAGCAGGAACACTGTCAAGAGTTATCTGGTAGTGGGGGCAGGGTTGGGAAGATCAGAATTAGGTGTGGCAGGCTGTTCAGGAGAGCAGATCCGTGCAGATCTATTCCAAGTTTGCATATTTTTCTCTTTTTACTTTGTATAAGCAGCTAGTGTAGACAACTCCCCGAAGAGCGAGCTCTCAAGATTGTTTTAAAGGGTGAAAAATACCGTGGGTTTGAAAACCAGGTCTGTAAAAGATTATAGGTGTAGCGCTCCGCTTCATTTACACTAGCAACGTAGACTCGGTGATTTGTATTTTCATGGCCAAAAGGCACGTGAAAAGGCTGGGCAAGACCAGGCCTGATGAATTCCCTTCCCTTGGCAGTGGGTTGTGTTCTGGCTCTTTCTGAGGAGCGCCGGCACGCGTGGCATGCCAAGGTCACTCACTGCGCGCCCTGAGTGACGTCGCTCTAAAGAAACTCACGGGGTTTGGGGCTTTTAAGGCGTTGCCTTCCCTTTGTTGTCATCTATTCAAAGAGGGGGTTTGTGCTGGGTTTTCCTTTTGCCCCCCTTACAGCTCTCAGTTGGAAAAGTGCCCCGGAAGAACGGCCAGGCATTTTCCACTTTGTGCCTATGAACAGCATTATGAGGTTGCTTAGAAACTCTTGAACTAAATACTTGGAAAGTAGTTATATTTTACATTGAAATTTAAACAGAGAGTCTTAATTCACTGTGAAATATTACTGTGTATTTTTTGTTGAATACCGTATGTTAAGTATTTATCTAGTTATTTGTGTTTTTCTTTTGAAAGGTGCTATGGGCTCTCATCAGCCGCAAATTTCAGGGAAATGTGGAACACTTGGACACACACAGACACATGGGAAGAGTGGTAGTGTGGACTCTGATTTGCAATTTTTAGGATTAAATAACTGTCAGCAAGACAAAGGTATATGGACTCTAACTGTATCATAAGTCAGTGCATGTTACTTTGAAAATGTCTCTATGCTGCCTTGAGAAATAAAAGCTGTCACTAAAGCGCTGTTCAGTCCCTCTTCAGACGTGTTGGTGCCTCCCTCCTGTCTCGGGCTCTTCATTTGTGGTGGTTAATGTGCGACCCACGCCTTTGGCATCTGACCGTGCCACGTGCTGTGTTAAAAAGCGCTGCGGTGACACAATCTGAACTTCTTTGGGAAAAAAAAATTGGGTTTTAGAATCGGTGTAGGTCAGATCAGCCCTAACAGCAAGGCCCAGGCTGAGCCTTGCCCCCCGGGACTGGTTCAGTGGCCCTTTTGGTGGTGTGCGAGGTGTCTGGGCAGGAGCAGGTGCAGGGGGAGGCACGGGCTGCTCCTTCCCACTGCGCTCACTGGCCCCATGGGAGGGACCTGGGTGTGCCCCGGAGACGTTGGTGCAGGTAGAGCTTTTCATTCTCATAGTGTTGCTTTCGTTTGTGGTGCTCTCCGTACAGCTTTTGTGGGACGGGGAGCCAGGGTGCTGCTGTGTCAGGCAGCCTTTGCTGCTGCCTTCAAAAGGGAGCCTAGGGCTTTGGCTGAGTGCCCTTAGCCCTAGAGCTGGCGCCTGGGGTGGATCAGGTCACACAGAAACTTGTCTGCTCATCAGTGGCGATAATAGTAAAAATGCCAGATGTGCACCTAGTAAAGGACTGAACTCTGTCCGGAGGAATAAGTAGTGACGATGGCAAATCTGTGGGCTGAGCTGCTTGGAGTGGTCCAGGTGTGTTGGACAAGGGATAGAGCCGACAGCCTTTTTGCAAGATAGGAGAAACATTGCTTACTTCTGGCCACTTACGGGCTCTAGGTACTGTGTTTTTCTCATGCCTGTGGGAAGAAAGGAGACATTTCCTCTTTTCTTTTTTGCCTCTCTAACTACAAAGTCAATGTTCTCTTATCCTCAGCCTTCAGAAGGCTGTCAGGTTACTTTGCTCACACTTGCTGATTTATTTCCCTGCCAGATATTTCCCTGACAATTTTTGTGCCAGATATTATCGTTCCTTGAGCCTTTCTCCAGCAGTACAACCCACACCTGACGTAGCTGTCTCAGTTTTGCTGCCCCGCGATACCCGGGGAGTGCCGGGATGCTTCACCCTCGGAAAGCACCAGGAGCAGAAGAGAGACCTTGGAGCCATCTGATCTGTAAAGGGATTTTTTGTGCTATAAGTAAAGGCACAATGAATGGGGTTTTTTTGGAGTGACACAGATGATTGATTCTCACTGTTGCTTCTCCTCACTCCGGGCTGTGCTCCCGGTTCTCCTGGTTGTGCTGGTGGAATTGTCTGGGGGGCTGTTCTCTCAGCAGGGTTGCTGAGGTGGCCCAGCACACAACCATCCTTCCAGAGCCACCAGGAACTTTGTTAAAACTTCTCCTCCTCTTCACTGGCACGGTTAAAAGCTTGAGCGCGTGCAGGGAACACGCATCTGCTTTTCCTGGGAAACAATTAAAACAGTCTAGTTCCAAACCTGCACTTATCTGTCCATTTTTGACCTACTGGCTTCCAGAAAATATTAACTTTTGGATTTTTTGTTTGTTTGTTTGTTTTTTAAAAGGAAATGGAACTTGCAACATTTGTGCTTTATTTGTACTTACGTATCACAGAGTTTTGAGAGTGGTGTTTGCAAATTTTATGCTGTGCAGGATTGGAATATGGAGCAGCAAGCAGCAGAGTCATGTTCAGTGTACTTGCATCATTCATTTTTTTAAATATAGTTCTTCAAAACATGAGTGCAAAGTAGCTTAAACTCATTTGATCAAATGCAGAGAAAAGGAAATTGATGTTTTGAGGGACAATGCTATATGCAAAATGAAGTTACCTGATTTGTCTGTCTGCTGGGGTGAAATGCTGACCTCCGGGTTTTGACTGTCTAGATGGTGTCTTATTTAATTGTAAATTATTATTATTATTATTATTATAAGAGCTGTCAAAGAGAATAATTACCACAAGTCCTATTCTCTTTTTTCTCTGCTCAGTTTCTGCCAGCCTAAATTTTTCCGGCAAGACCCAGAGAAGTTTTTGCAATCAAGCAGAGCATGTGATGCCCTTCCAAGGTCCTAACGCAAGCCAGGGCACCTTCATCCTGCCGTCTTACCCTCTGTCGTCACCCAGGACCAGCCCAAAGCACAGCTCCTCTCCAGCTGACTCTCCACAGAAGTCACAAGATAACACCATGAACTTCTCAAACTCCTGGCCCCTTAAAAGCTTCGAAGGACTGCCTAAGCCTGCTTCACAGAAGCAGCCCCTGGGCCAGAAGTCAGGAGACAATACAGGTAGGAATGTCATCGGTACAGTGAAACCAGATTTCAGGTTTGCTTTTTGAGTGGCTGGAGCAGGGCTCAGGAAACCTGCTGTGGGGAATTGTGCAACGCTTCAGCTGCAGTTAGGAACCTGAGGGGCTTGGGCTTCCAAGGGCTGCTCACATCACTGGAGGCTAATGTTAAAAAGTGAAGTCTTTGTGTTTTGGTAGTTTGAAATACTGGCGTGTTTTGCTCCTTTTGTCTTTACATTACGTGAGATAAAGCAGAATGTGCAGCAGCTCTGCTTTTCTTGTCAGTAACATCAGTGCAAAGGCTGCCTTCAAACTGCAGCAAAACCAAACCCCAAAGCCTCGCGCTTTGAAAGAAAGCCAATACGGAAATAGCTGTTGCTTTTAATAATCTCATTAATACATGTGCAAGAAAGTATTTTTCATTGCATTTTGGCTTTTTGCCTCGTTATTTGCCTTTGGATACTGGTGTGTTGAACTTCCCAGGCTCAGAATAGCCCTTTCAAACCTGGTGGCACGCAGCTGTGTCTCTGACGGGGGGAGTTGGTGCTGATTTCACCCCGACTGAGGGACACCCGATGGCAGGGACTGCTCTCTGGGGTTGGGCTTCCTCTGGCTTTGACACCTCAGGCACACTTTGGTTAAGCTGAGATAGTTTTAAATTTCTTTGATTACACTTGCTTAGACAATTTAGCTGCTTTCTTTCAAGCACTTCCTAAAGACAATCTTATTTTAGGTTAAAAATAGATAGCTTTAGTATCTGTTTAGCTTCAACTGATTCCTGACCACTTTTTTTTTTTTTTCTTAATTGAGAAAGTTAATTACTTTTTAAAGATACTAAGTATATCTTTGTACCTGCGCAAAACACTAATCTGTATTTTTTTAAAGGGAGGAGACACTAAAAGTAGAAGAGATTGGTAACAGCACTTGAAATGCAGGAGATGGGAAAGGTAGAGCCAGGGGCTTATAGAAAATACCATTCACAGAGGCAAGTCTGGTAATGATCCTAATGATTCTGTAAAATTAAATATCAAAAAATGTGCATAAGTAAGTATTCAGGACTGAGGGTTTGGCGCATTTGGAAAATTGATGTTGGAGAAGGAATATTGAAAAATTTTCAAATTATGAATGGTATAAAAATAAACTTAGATAGGGAATCAGTGTCTGCTTGTTCATCTGAGAAACTTAGTTCCCTCTGTGTGTGTGTTATGTGTGAGTATATTTATACCCGTGAATAGGTGCATACGTGTGTAACGTGAGGGACCTCAGGAAGGGGTTTGGTGACAGCAGGTCCTAAATAAAAGTAATTTTTTAATGCTCATTGTGGATCTGGCTACTGCAGGCTGCTGAAGATGCCAAAAGCAAGAATTTCTTGATAAAGCAAGTGGAAGTGTGTGCCAGGACGGTGGGTGAGCGCAGGTCAAACCTCTGACCGAGGAAGTTCCTAACGCCTGAGTGGATACTCTTTAGTGTTGGGCCTTTGTCTGACTCGCTGCAGCTATTTTTATGTTCTTACTGGTTCTATTCAAATTAATTAAACAAAATGTCTTTGAATCTATAATCTTTTAACAGTAAATAAAATTGCGTGTGTAAGTATATTTTTTATCACCCTCTTGATTGTAAAAGGAGCTTTCTGGTGTGACATAAAAATGAGCTGTGAAGTTTATTCTGGTGAGTGCTGTGTTCCTGCCACCCCTCCTGAGAACTGACCTCTGCTCCTGTCTTCTTCAGGGGACAATTTACAGGAGAAACATTCTCCTCTGCAGCTGAAACCCACCCTGGTGAGACACCCGGCCTCCCGCGGGGGCCTGAACGGCACCAGACCCGTGCCCCCCATACCCCGCCTCGCCAGCCTGCTGCCCGACAAGATTGAATTAAACGTGACAAGGTGGAGAAACGAAGAGAGTGAGGAGCTGTGGCTGAATGACGTGGACAGGAAGCTTGCGGCTGATCTGTCAGAGCTAAATGTTGATGGCGAGGAAGTGGACCCAGAAGAGGTTGGTTTAAATATGACAAAACTCGCTTTCAGCAGCTGATGCAGTGTCAGCTTTTTATTGCTAAACAAGAGCCAGAAAATAATGTTTCTGACTTACATGTTGTGACTCTGTCATCAGTGCAGCAGGCCTTCAGTGACATTCCACTGGGCAGAAACGAAGTAAAGCGATCAATACTGATTTTGGAGCATGATCAAGTCTGTTCCAGACATCTTAATCCCCCTTGTTTTTCTCAGAGCCAAAGCTGTAATGGTTTTGGTTATTGTAGTACCAAGGCAGAACTGTGGGCCTTCATACAGCTTATTATCTTGACCTCATTTTAAATTTCATGCCAGATGTAAGTAATAACCCTCTCTCTAGTTACAGCAAAGGGTCTGAAATAACGAGTAACTTCCCTGATGACGTTTTGTCTGGCTCAGCCCAGGAGTTTCCTCAGCCCCTGCCTTTGCTGGAGCAGACTGTCCCCGGGACCCTCGCAGCGTGTCCCAGCTCCCCCAGCATTCAGTCATGTTTCCACGGAGTAGAATGAGGCAGACTGAGGTGAAGCTGTGTGAACGTGCTGTCACCTGCAGCACTTCGACGTGGCGCGGACACGTTTGGCTTTAGGCTTGGCCGCTCAGCATCCCTCCTGTACGTGCAAATCCACTCGTAATCATTTAGGCTGGTGACGTACATTCAGTGTGCCATGCGAGTATTAGAAAATATTTGAAATATTTAACACCTTTCAAAATCCATCCCTTGCATGACCCATGAGACTTGTCGGACAGACTTATTCCAGCATCTCCCTTCTCTGTTCTGTGAAATACTTTGTCCACCGAGGTCCCCCTGTGTCGGGGAGCCTGTGAGCGTGCTGACCCCTGTGCCCAGGGCGTGCTGAAGGATCCCACCACTCTGTTGCTTAAGACTCTGATGTTTGAGAAATAGCGACTAGCTGCCCCAGTCTAGGTCAGAGGAAGATACTGCAGAGGCCTGCTGGATTATTTCCAGGGGTGGTGGGAGGTGGAGCTGCACCCGCAGTGTCCTCGTCAGTACAAACCAAAACCCTGGGACACCGATTACCTGAGAAGTGTGGGAGTCACGTGTGGTTGGATTTGGTATTATCTTCCCCGCGTCATCCCATCCAACACGTCCTTATTTCTGTCACAGTTCACGGGAACTGTTTGAATCTCAAGGCCTGTCTTTAGTCCCTGTGGATCTTAGAGCAGTTGCAGTAGGGCTTATCGGCTTTGCCTCCCTGTCTTTGTCTTCCATCCTCTACTCACTGCTGAAAGTAACTCGAGGTGGCAAACAGACAGAGGAAGAATGGTTTTTTACATCAAATATATTCAGCAAAAAGAGGAGAGAATACACAGTAGCACGAAGCTCTTGTGATTGCAGATTTTCCTGCTTATTTGAGCAGGAGCTCTGCTAGGCGCAGTTCTCAGGATTCACCTCGGCACATTTTGCAGATTTGTGTTGTGAAAAGCCCGAGGTTCTGGCTAGGCGTGCTAGCAGCCATCAAACACTTCCTGTGGCCTCAAAAAAGATGGCAGCAGCTGAGGTATTTTTGCAGGAGTCGGTTCTTGTGTTTTGCGACATGACGCTGGGATACTCTGTGGCTGTGAATTGGTGTTTACTTGCAGGATAATTGTGAAGTAAAGCCATGAAATGGGTGATCTTCAAGGTCTTTTCCAACCGAGATGGTTCTGTGATTGTGTGAAAAAGGTTGTTGTAATCCTGCATAACCTATGTCAGTGGTCACTCCGGTTGCCCAGCGGAGGCGTGTGCACTGAACTCCCCTGAACTGAACACCTGGAAACACACTTTCTTTTCTAAAAAAAGCTTTTTTTTTCCCAAAGAACGAATAAAACCTGTTGTTTTGTTTCCAATCCTGTTTAGATGCAGAACTCACTTAGATCTCTACGAAACAGCGCGGCTAAGAAAAGGGCGAAGCTAAGCAGCAGCATTTCAGACCTTGAAAGTCCCGATTCTGCCCTTAAACTTGATCTGTGCGTGGACTCCCCCTCCCAGGCCGGCTCCCCCAGCCAAGGCAGAGTCGGCAGCCGGGAGTCGCTGAGCTCGCCCCTGCCCGCCGCCCCCCGGAGGAGGAGAATAACGTGAGTGGGGCTCCTGGTACCTCGGCTTTGGAACGCTCACACACATTCCGCGGCTGTTAGTTAAATATTAAAGAGGGCGAAATCTGTAATGTCTCTTTTTTAGATAAGATTGCTTGATTTTTATCTGTGAATTGTTTTCCTCACTAAAAATACTTTGCTTTGTGCAGTGGCTGCTTAATTATATTCTTCAAGTTTGTGCTGGCTTTTAATTTGGAAGAGTTCCCTGGTGCAGCCATAGGAACACAGTGCAGGGAAGTACTGCCAGGGGTAGTAAATATTTTATTAAGACTTTAGCCTGCCTTAGAAGGTATGTGAACCATAGCCAAACAAACGAGTAAGAAGGAGAATGAGTTAAGAGAAAGAATAAGGTTTGCTTATTACAGCCTGGAAATTGAAGAAGGAATGGGTTGGGGTTTTGTGGTAAGAGGAGGACAGTGTAGATGTTTCTTGTTACTGCGAATCACAGAATGTTTCCACTGTATTACTGACAGACTATTGTTAATTTAAAATGCCTTCACAGAGCTCTTCCAAAAAGAAATTGTGTGATGATACATGCTACTCTGATTGTAAAGTGCAGTGGCCCCGTTGGTTATGAGCAGTATAAACTATTTCATGTTCTAATGAAATAAAAAAGTTTTTGAGGCATTTTGCAAATTTTGCAGCACAGAATCTCCTTTTCTGCTTCCGAAGCCCATGATAAAGCCGCTTGTAGCTCTGATCTGAAGACATCTTCTGGTTTTGTGTGGACTAAATTCATCTTTATATAACTGGCATCCAGCTGTATTAACAGAATCGGAAGAAAGAGAGGGACTATACAAAAGAAAGGTTTCTGGGACGGGGGAAAGTGGAATGAATCACAGGTGTGCAGTCTCAGAACTGATTTCTGTGTACACATTTTCCCTGTCTGCATTACTGCTGAATCACAGTTTTAAGAATCATCTTTAAAATAACACATTAAGGTGCCAGAATACCTAAAAAGTCAAGACTATAAACCTCTGTGTGTAATATTCTTCCAAGTAAGGTTTTGACACATTCTGTACAACATGCCATTTCCCTTACTCAGTGAGACACAAGCTTAATGTTTCACAGGATTCACAGGCACAGGAATTCTGAACTGTCACGGAAGAGAGGGGGCATCTGGCAGTAAGACTGAATTTGTAGAAGTGACAAAACATATCCCAGAAGACATTGAAAGTCTTGGAATGCTCATAAAAACATCAGAGAGTGCAGTTCGGGTGCTGGGTTGCAGCATGGGAAATTGGCATTGTCTGTTCACAAAATTGGGCACCAAGGGTGTCGGTTTGTTCTGTGTATTTCCTTTTAGAAGGACCAGTTTATCTACTGATAAACTACGGTGAGAAATGGGAGCTTGGTACCGGTATTAGCACATGGGCTTTCCTCAGGATCTTCAAGTCTTCTCGTTGTGGGTATTTCAGTCCTGGCAGAGAGTGGATCAGCTGCCCTTTCCCTGTGGATGTTACAATATTTACCAGCCCAGGGCCCTGGGTTCCCTCGTCTTTAATAGCCAAATGCATCGTTCTAAAAAAGAAGCATGGAGATTGTCCTGTAGATAACAGCATTTTCCTGGTGAAGGTCTGTCTGCCAGACGCTGAGCTGAAACCGTCTCATTTCTGGAAGTGAAACGTCAGTGGATTTGGGCACTCACTCACCATTCTCTCCCAGACTGGAACCCACATTGTCAGTCCCTAGGCCAAACGATTCCTTAGCTTTTCGAATGTAGGCTAAATTTAGTCCTAGTCTAAACTTTATTCTTAAGAGTTGTCTTCACGGTGTTCTTCATAATGCACCTGCTCATCAAAACATTTCTACTGAATTGAATTTTCTCTTTCTTCTCAGTGTGAACATTTGTGGAAGTGTACTTGAAATATTTGTCCACGAGGTACATTGGGGAGGAGAAACTGAAATCTATTGTTGTCTTGGCTACAAAATGTCATTTATCTGGGCTCGGACTGGTGTGTAGAACTGCACCTGTAAACACTGGGTTTATATTTTAACAGGTCAGACACCTTCCCGCTACTTAGCAGCAAATCACAGCTTGCGAGGTTATCTTCAGCAAGAAACAGGGACCCAAACGTGGCAGAACTTCACTCCAGCACAGGTATTTCGCAGTGTTTCTCAACATACAACTTGCTTCACTGACGGGACAGAACTCGCTGGGTCTGTTGGATGAGCTCGTGCCCCTTCAGCACTCGCAGACGGGTGATTGCTCAGTGCTGTGTGGGCAAGCTGAGCTCACGCCGTGGTACTGCAGGGGAGGGGCCACTCCAGGGTTTCTGCCTTTCTGTGTCAGGATGCAAATGCCACCTGTGAGTATGTGCACTTCAAAATTCAGGGCCAGAGTGGGTGAAGAGTCATTGGACGCCGGCTGGGTGAGAGTAGGAAGGGTCAGAGCGTTGCCAGCCGTTAATTTCCTGGTGGTAAATGGAAGTTAAGTGATGCTGTTCTGTTTCACACTTAGAGTGAAGCACAGGTACCTGCAGATTTCTGTGACGGGCGGGAACTGATTGTTTATGATTATTTATGTTTAATCACTTTTGATTCCACTGACTGGAGGAAAGCAACGGAGCGAGGTGTGTCCACAGCTTGTTTCTGACCTCTCTTCCCAAAGACTGTTCCCTTGCACCCTGCTGCAGCCACAGCAGCTATGAATTTTTTCCAAAAAAGTTTGCAAAATTTAGTTAGGATGGGAGGGCATCTTACGGCCCTGAATTTGCAAGGCCATCACATTCCAAAACCAGTAGTTGCTAATGAGACTGATCATCTTTTTTCAGAAATTGAAGCTATTGCTCCTCATTTCAGCTAAGGCCACTCTTCTCAGGATAAATCAGCAAATTGTTTTTTTCAAGTAGCAGCATAAGTCAGAGAGCACACGCTGCACGTAGGCAGCAATACCTGTTGAGGTTAATGATTTTGCGTTCGTTATGTGAAAAGATCTTCTGTGAGAAGTTGACCTTCGGTGTAAAATAACGAGCAGCACATCTATTTTGCTTATTGAGGCAGTTAATCAGCCTGAATGCAGAGCACTAACGGGGAAAGGAGAGTCCTCTGCTGCTGCTGCTGACCAGGCTCGGCCCATCGCGTGGCTCAAATCCAGAAAACTCCCCATTTCCACACTTGAACGTGGAGAACTTGTGAAAGTCAGAACAGGAGATGTGTTTGTAAGGGGTTTGGTCCAGGCCTCGGTCTCACGGGGATGGGTTGGGCCCCCGGTGCAGAGCGTGGGGCTGGTGGGAGTGGGAGGGGGAAGGCGATGGAGCAGGGTGCTGCGGGGGAGCCCTGGCAGCACCCTGGGGCCGGGCCTGTGTCCCTCCGGGTGCTGGCGCTGCCGCGGTTCCATCACCTTGGTCGTGCCCCTGCAGTTACGTCTGGGCTCAGTCCCGGGGAATGGATGCAGGGTGCAGTAAGAGCACGCAGATGGTGAAAAGACTTCTGTGATTTTACGTATTTTTAGGAGAATTTGGAAAAGCAGAAATTATCCTTTAAAGGATTCCTGGAGTAATTAGTGTTGTTTTCTTTCTTTAACCGAAACCAACCAAGTTCCTGGCTGGTGTCAGCACTGGTGTGGCCAGCAGGGACAGGGAAGGGATCTGAGCCCTGGGCTGGGCACTGGGGAGGCCGCCCCTCTGTTCCTGGGTTCAGTTCTGGGCCCCTCACCCCAAAAAGGCCATTGAATGACTCGAGCGTGGCCAGAGAAGGGCAACGGAGCTGGGGCAGGGTCTGGAGCACAGGTCTGCTGGGGAGCGGCTGGGGGAACTGGGGGGTTCAGTCTGGAGAAGAGGAGGCTGAGGGGAGACCTCCTGGCCCTCTGCAACTCCCTGCCAGGAGGGGGCAGAGAGGGGGGATGAGTCTCTGGAGCCAAGGCCCCAGCGCCAGGCCCCGAGGGAATGGCCTCAAGCTGCCCAGGGCAGGGTCAGGCTGGCTCTGAGGAAGGATTTCTGTGCAGAAGGGGCTGTTGGGCGTTGGAATGGGCTGCCCAGGGCAGGGGGGAGTCCCCGGGATCCCTGGGGGGGTTGAAGAGTCGGGCTGAGCCAGCGCTGAGGGGTCTGGGGGAGTTGGGAACGGTCAGGGGGAGGGTCATGGTTGGGCCGGAGGGGCTGCAAGGGATGTTCCAACCGATTCTGGGATTCTGTATTGAGAACATTTTGCAGGCATAAAAATGCTCAGTTTCTATTGTCTGTAATTATAACATTGGCACGTCCTGCTCAGATGAGGGGGACAGGCCTGTTTTTACAAATGGTCTCAACAAACATAAAAATGTGTTTTACAACTTGTAGGGTACATAAATAGAAACATTCCTTGGGTTTTAACTAGTGTTTTACTGTTTTCACCCACTTGACATAACTTAATTTGGCTTCTGGTGTTGAATTACTTAGTGTTCAGTTGTTCATCTTTGAAAGCATTTAAACTAAGAAATAATTTTTCAATCTTTGGGTTAGATTTTCACATCTGGGTTTATCTGGAGATGAAAGCCTTTGCCTGTGAAAAATGAACAGGGCCTGAGCGTTGTTGTTGAAATGCTCAGTAGGCAAACATGCTCATACCAAAGGCGTGAAGCCCGTCTGAGGGTCTCTGATAATATGACTATTTGAGAATCCTGCAGTACATAGGTAAAATTATTTCTATTCTTTTCTTAATATTTTTTTTTTCCTATTTTCATGTCTAGCATTTGATGATAAGTCGACTTCTAATGTTGGTGTAGTTGGCCAACGATTGAACTGTGGCAACGGGTGCGGAGATTACGCGGACACGAAGCAAGGAGAAGTGTCACGTACCACTTTTAAAAGTCAAGATATGGAACATCAAAGAAATTTTAAGCATTCAAAAGGTTTGTGAGTTTGCTGTTCATGTGAGCTCTCATTTATGGCAAAACCCGAGGCTGTCTGTAGCCTTCTGTAAAACAGGTTTTACAGACAATGAGACAATGCTTTTCAAGGTGTTTAGTGGGGTTTCCTCTTTTCTAGTCTCTATACTAATGCTAAGAAGTTGGGGTTTTTTTCTGACATTAACTGAAATTAGACTGCCAAATTAAAATTAAAAGTCAAGCGATAATACATGGCATGAGAAAAGGACTGAGTTGTTATATATCTCAGTCTGAATAAATGAGCAGCTTTAAAAGTTTGGTTTTAAATTGCTCTGTTGTTCGCTGGTAAAATTAAGGAACTTAAACCATTATACTTTACATTTCAGTTTTAACTGTGCCATTTTAATGCATCCTTGGAGCTACTGTTCCCTATATCAGAATTGTGTGCACAATACAGATGTATTTTCCAGCTATAGACTTGTTAGAATAGAGCAGCAACTTTTTTTTTTTTGAACATCAAAAGTAAGTGTGGAAGTCAGTTTAAGGTGCATATGATTTCACTGTCTCTTGTTCAGATCTCTCGCAGGGTTTCAAGTAATCATGTTTTAGTGATAAACCAAAAATCAAGTAGACATTGATTAGACATTGATTAATGAAGATCTTTGTCACAATAAGAATTTTTTGGTTATTCTGTCTTTTGTTTCAACATTAAACATGGACAGTTTTGTCTGTTCTCAAGGTTTTATAGAAACGGTGGAGTGCTATTTTGTGTGAACCATTTGACGCTGAGCAGTGGAAGTAAAGTCTGTAATCAGATTTGTAAATACTTCTCTTTTTTTTGTTAACACCTGCTTATCCTTTGATGCCCGTGAAATGGCAGTGTGTAATTTTTTTTGGCTGGAAGCCGAGGTTAAGACAGAAGGTCCTGATCTGGGGGTAGGCTCCAGAAAGATCTGGTATTTGATGCCCATTCACTTACAGTCTTAAGAGAGCAATTGCTCGTGAAGCCTCAAGATTATATTCCAGAAAATCCCAAAAGGCCAGTTTTGACAGTGCTCAAGTGTTAAAACTTGGAATATTCTGAGGACAGTGATTGGGTTTGTGGGAGGACAAAGTGACGCTTTCAAGAGAAACCTTTTCACTTCATCTTTCTTCTCATGAAGCCTAAAAAGGAGAGCTCTAAAACTGAAACTAGGTAAGCAGGTAATTTGTAAAGTAAAGAGGCATCTGTCAGTGTCTCACCTGTGATTATTTTGGGCAAACTGGTGGAGATAAGGGCAGGGAGTGTGCCAGAGCTGTCCGAGTCCCGGCTCGCTGCGGCCGGGGCTGCGGGCAGAGGCCTGGTGGTTTGCCAGCGTGTGGCTCACCAGAGGTGGTTCAGTAGCCCACGGATTTCATTTTCCCCCTCTCCAGAAGGTAATCAGCTGCTTCGCTCAATCCTCTCCTCTGGTTAGAGATTGCTGATCGTTCACGTTCAATAGCAAAAGCAAATGGTGCCCTTCTGTTGTCCCAAACTGTCATTTTTATCCGCAGGCAGTGGAGCCAGCACGGGAGTGTATAATTATGGCAAACAGCATCAAGTGCTGCTTGGGGAAAAACAAAATTTAGCACATTCTGTTTTGATTCATTTGCGCTGAATTATGTAAGAAACAGCGTGATACTTCCACTGACTTAGAAACTTCTGGGTTTTTTCCAGCGGAATCAGTTGATTTAAAAATCCTCTTACAAACATTGGTTTGCTTTATGATCTTCTGGCAGGAATTTTGTTTGCCATATGCTTTCCATGATTTTGAGGCTATCGATATTTAGTAAATCCTGTTAACTTCAGTAACTTGAAAATATACTGATTCATTAAAGTGATAAATTCAGATGTCAGTGTGTGATGGCATTTTAGAAGAAAGCATGTACCAAAGCGTAAGCTTCATGATTTATGTGCTGTGATTTATCTTTTTTTAAGGTCTTGCAGAGTCAACGCCTACTTTTCCAGAGATGAACAATCCAGATTTCATTTCACCAAGCATCCTGTCTGAAGATGCAGTTGTAATTGTTGGTAAAGGTATTACAAAATCAAAATTATCTCCTATATCTCATCACGGTATTAAAATGAGGGAAAATGCATCTTCATGGAGTGGGAAAATGAAAAACAGGTTCTGTGCAACATTTTAGATTGTGAACGATGTCCAGTTTAAATGGGAATAATAAGAATTATGCTTGAAAGTTTTGCAGTTCCTGGCTATTCCATTCCAGCAAAGACTGGCAGTAAGTGGTGAAGGTCAGGTCTTGGTGTGCACGCGTGTACGTGCATCCGTCCTGCTTGGCAGAATGAAAGAAGAGAACTTTGGGGTGAAAATCGGCACTAATAGTGTCATAGCATGGCACTAATAGTGTAATGGTTTTATCGTCTTGAATTCCTTTGGGTTTTCTTTAGTTTTGCCTAAGTTCTGCCGAGTACAGCGGTTGTGTTGGTGAGGGCACAACGGGATTTGCCTTTCAGGTGTTTTTGGGAGTCCTCCTTCTGCACAGACACCCAGCCCCTGCCCAGCGTGCGTGGGGACTGGGGATGAGGAGGAGAGCGAGGCGTCGCCAGGGAGCTGCGCGAGGAGCAGCCAGCAGAGCAGTGCTGCTCAGCTCCACGTGGAAAATGAGACAGAGGTGAGAGCGCCCCGACTTCTGTATTGTCTCGCTTCCTTTTTGTGTGTATGAACACAGCTCGATGCAGTTTTGCAGTCTCTCTGCCATGGTAGTCAAGTTTAATTAAAACAGACTGTAGCCATCAAGCTGCTTCTCCCTGTTCTTTGGTTTTGGTTCCCCCTGGGTATTTTATCACAGCAAATTGCTGTGTCAGAAGGTTCCCCCCTAACTCAGAAGCCTCCGGGCGAAGGGGCTGCAGCGGGGAGTGGGGCTGGGCAGTGTCCTCTGACTGCCACAGCACACACACGTGGAAGCAGGAGGAATGGGCTGGGCTTGGTCATGTCTTGTTTCTCCGATGGACACAGCAATCTAGCTCCATTTATAAGTTTTTTAAAAAACATTGGATATTTGTCCAGTTGTACGGTTTCACGAGGAGTGGTGCTGCTTTGGTAAATACAACCTACATCTGACAGAACATGGAGCAAGACTTACCTGAGTGAAGCGTGACACAAATTGTTAAAAACTTGAAAGGATAATCACAAGCCTTTCTGAAAGCATTTAAAATAACATTTTAAGATGAGTGAAACTTTAATTAGTGATAAACAGTGGGTTTGCTTTCCGATTTCCACTGAAGATACAAATGCTTGGAGGGATCCAATTCAAAGGAGTAAATGGAGGAATGTGTTAAATGTTACCAAGTTTTCAGGAGGAACTGCAAGCATCTTAAAAGTATAAGAGACTAGGCTCAGATCACACTGTTAAAGACATTGTTGAAAAAAACCCCTGTGCACTTAAATGTGAGTTAGCCCAGCCTGTGCATTTGTTAGTTAAAATTCTAGAAACTACACAATACTGCCAAGGAACAGAAGACCTTGTCTTGCAGACCTTAGTTCTCTAACTGTCAGCTATCTTAGAGTAAGTGATTATTTCCCTTAAATGTTTAAACCTGGAATGTTGCTTCTTATTGCCAGCAGGACTGGTTACCACGCAGAAGGCATGCACCCGGCTCTTTTCAGGATGAGATTTAATATTTATGTGAATAATTTCCTTTTGCTCTGTAGAACAATGGTGAAAATAGTAATTTTCCATGCCTACCTTAGACAGTATCAAAAACTGGGCAGTAAGTTATTGGGTAACTTGTGCATTGTATTATATTGCATATCATAACGTGTGCATTGGTTTTTTGCAGCTAAAAGTTGCCATGTCAAAATCTGCCCAAGATAAGATGAGGAGGAAGAAAAAGGAACAAAAAGAACAGAAAGAACATCAGGAAGTCAAAGGCCTCGAAGGGAAGGAAGAAAACCCTTGGGAAAGACTTAAACTGAATGAACCAGAGAACACGGCAACAGAAAGTGAGAATTAGTGTTTGTCTTAAAGGAGTGATATATTGTTAAATGCCTCTGGAATGGAAGTTAAATTCTGTGATAATTACCAAAACCCATGAGTGTTTAGAGCGATGTGAGGTATTGCTAGAATTAATTATAGACTGCAGTTTATTCTTTAGTCATTTGTTGTCAGTCTTACAATGCAAATGGTGGAGAGTGAAGGGCTTATGGGAAATATTTGAAAGACCGTTGTTAAGAAAAATCTCAAAAGACAAATTATGATTGGGAATACTAGTTTTTTCCTTTTTTCTGATTTGTTGTTGTAGTTCGGACATTTCTTTCTATTTTGTAGAGGTAAATCTTTGTGAGGATGTATTAACATCACCAAGAAGTGTGTCTTTGTCATTAGAAAACATGGCCTCGAATCCTTCATTTAAAAGAAAATCCAGTTTGAAGAAGACAAAATGTTCATCCTTGCTGGATTCTGGTAAGTTATTAGAGTTAGCTAAAGACTGTTAAAATATTTGGACATGTGGAGTGGGACAGTTCCAAAACACAACCAGGTTTAACACGGGTTATTTGGACAATGGACCGTCCTGAGGTGCTCTGGAAGATCAGTACTTTGGGGGTGGTGGTGAAGGGATTAGAATTCATGACTGCCCCCTTGAAACATTTTTCATCTATAATTTGTTAGGAAGTTGATTGAAACATGAGAGGGGGTTTTACTTGCTCAGCAACTTAAACGATGCAATGCTGAATCGACTCCCTTCTGTCTCCAAGAAAAACATTTCTGGGTACGTTTTGGCACTGAGATGCCTTTAAAATACGCAATAGAAATCTTTTCAGAGTAGGAGCTCATACAGGTGATGGTCAGAGGTCTTCAGAATTTCTCAAGTGGCTCTTTAAGTTTTACTCTTGTGTCTTGCTGTGCTGTCTGTTGTTACATGGAACAACCCCCTACATCTGTGTTTGCGGCTTTTTTAAGTGGGGGTAGTTTGAAAAAAAAAAAAAAAATACACACGAGCAAAATGCTGAATGATTGAGGATGTCACTGGGAAAGCTTGTCTTTTTGAAAACCTGCTCCCCTAGTAGCAGCAGGCTTCACCTCAAACTTTTTATAGTTCCTTCCTTTGAATGAATTAGTTTCTTCAGATGATGCCGATTATTTCTTATGCTTCACGACTTTGCAGATGAAATTTCTCCTGGGACACGAGGGCGCTCTAAAGAGCAGGCTCCATCAGTCACTCATAGCCCAGAAATAATGGACCCATCAGAACTGCAGCCCTTCTCGAAGCCGGAGGCGGCACTGGCCGAAGCCTTGGTGCTTTTAGGCGATGAGGACTGGTAGGTGTAAACGTCTGCCCAGGACCTGAAGGTAGTGTAGAAGGCATTTGTTTTGATAAATCGCTTTGAAAGGAACAGCAAAATGGACATAATATTAGAAACAGAAGGATTGCAAATAGAGAAAAAGAAAAAAAGCTTTTTTTAGTCCAAATCTAGATTCAGCTGTAACTGTCACAGAATCCCAGAATCATCCAGGTTGGAAAGGACCTTGAAGATCACCCAGCCCAACCATGACCCTCCCCCTGACCGTTCCCAACTCCCCCAGACCCCTCAGCGCTGGCTCAGCCCGACTCTTCAACCCCTCCAGGGATCCCGGGGACTCCCCCCTGCCCTGGGCAGCCCATTCCAACGCCCAACAGCCCCTTCTGCACAGAAATCCTTCCTCAGAGCCAGCCTGACCCTGCCCTGGGCAGCTTGAGGCCATTCCCTCGGGGCCTGGCGCTGGGGCCTTGGCTCCAGAGACTCATCCCCCCTCTCTGCCCCCTCCTGGCAGGGAGTTGCCGAGGGCCAGGAGGTCTCCCCTCAGCCTCCTCT